TAAAGAAGGGTAAAAGCCGAGCTCATTTGTAAAGTCTAAATTTGAATTCATTTTATTCTTCTCATCATCGAAACATTTTAGCTCATGAATTTGAGTTTACATTCAAACAAGGAGAATTAGCTGCATACACTATTGCCTTGAAACTCTTCTCCAAAGTTTTCATAGAAGAAATAATTAAAACGGACACTGGCAGGCGAGCACTGGCTCTATTTCTTACTCAGTTTGATGTTTCCCAGAAGTAAGCATATTACAGTAAATTGTTGGATTTGATAGTGCCGCGTGCGCTAGCAGATAGTGGGTTTAGAGCATGGTAGCTTGTGAGCGGCACATACATTTATAGCAGATCGAACCTCAAGAAACTGCAAGGCAACTCAGTCTTCCTCTGCATGTGCTGACCTCATTAGTTTGGGACAAATAGTAGTTTCGGTCTTTTTATGACAGCAAAAAATTGCTTATCCTTCTTGGTTTACTCGTTTACTACCGCTAAAAAGAATATTCTATGGAATTTTCAATAGCGCATTATCCAGACCATGCTTTTTAGTGACTTGCATATCACACCTTTGTCTAATATCTAGAAAATTGAATTAAAATTGCAGTAAATACGAACTGCGCGCCTTTTGAATTCCTCAGGTCATGCAACTCTTCATGTAAGAATTGAGCGATTTCAATACTTCTAGCGGAATTGATAATTTTTCACATTTTCTATAGAAAAAAATCAGGGGTTGATGAGAAATCCTATGTGAACCATAGTCCAAGGTTGAATCTGACCCACTACTCGTTTCAGTGTGTATAACTAAAAATTTGGGAAATTGGGAAAAAAAGGTTTATTAGATATGGACAATTTTCGGTTGCTCCTCCTCCAATTGTTCAGGTTGGAGCTAACGATGATTGTTTAAGGATGATTGGGTTCTATACTTATTAGCTCGCTGACCCCTACTAATTGTTTTTATCAAACCTTTTGTTATGCAAACGATACTCAATTAAAATGGAAGGAGCTTTTTTTGTTTTTTTCTCCTCATTCTCACCTCATCAATCAGATGACTAGCCCTATTACCAAGTTTCTTGAAAGTCTCTTTGTTATTATCTCTGTTTTCATTAATA